TGCTAATGGAGTGAAACCTGAAAAGGTTTACATCTTGGTGCCATTAAGCATGAGAAGGTCAAGTCTTTTACCTTTGTGGGCTGACCATAGCCTGGAAAATTAAAACCTGTTATTAAAACCACTCTGTTATGAAAACCACACACAGCAGACTGCTGCATAGTGAAAGCTGGTAAGAAATGAAGTGTTACTGTGTAATGCAAAAGGGCTGAGATCTGTCTCTAGAACCTAAACACAAAACTTGAGAATCAGGCTATAGCTCTGGTCCTCTTTGCAGTAAATTCTCCATCAGGTATTATTTGATATTACAGAAGAGCAGCTATAGAGAGACATAGCCTTCAAGGTTAGAATCAAAACACCCATATTTCATACATGTCAGTTTTTGTTCTGAACCTAGTCAGTAACAAGACAACACAATGTATGGGCAGGGCGAAGTCAGGCCTGTGAGCATACAAACAACATGGATCCAACCAGATCGAGTTCTCATTCCAGGACGCTAAGCTGAAGAAATCCAGTTAATGTAAACAGAGTACAAGTAGCCTTAGAGCTTCCATAAGCCTGAAGTAATCAAACTCGTGAGATGTTCAGTACCATTTTGTTTGTATCTAATGCTACTTTTTGTGTTTCTACTAAAGGAACACCACACTCAAAGCTCAAAAAGTATCTATAGCAAATGTGACAGATGTGAAATGAAGGACAGAAAAGAAACGGAGGTCAAGAACATGAGAAAATGGATAAACAATAAGCAGCATCGTGACTGCAATTAAGTTGTATCATGTAGAAGGGGGAAGTAGTACTTAAAGGTTATCCTGTATAAAACATTCCTACTTTCTGGTAAGATGCAAGACACTTTTTAAGAGTCCTTCTGGCCTTAGAGCTTGTTTGCTAGACTTGTGTCAGTATTTTCCAAAACTAACCATGTTTGTTTTTTGCCTAAGATTTCCTTCCTGGGAAAGTGGCAAAACTGCAGCCAACTGAGGCAAAACCAATTCTGCTGTGCCACTTTCTTCACCTGTACATTATATGTATAGATATACCTTTTTGCATGTGCACCTACACATACTTGCACAGCCAGAGTTAGTGGTCACAGCAAGAAATCTCCATCTGGTACCATCCACTGATCACCTCTGATTTATGATGCTATTGTAGCAAACTGAGACATACAAGGCATAATGTATTTAAGGTTTGTGCATCACGTTTGTCTCAGACCTCACTGAGCCACAGAAATGAGCTACCAAGGCCCGTTCAACGCGTAACACACCCTTAAGCTGAAACACAATCTGAAATTCCACATATAGATGACCAGTTGTCGCCTTGACATCCTGGCTAGTAGGCAGCTTGGAAATACAATTTCTCATTTCAAGGACAGTCTGAAATACAGTTCAGCATGAAACAGATCCTAAATCTCTTTCAAGTGATTACACTTGCATATGCTGCTTTGGTCTCCAAAGCAGTGAAAGGAAATGATCACAATCCTTTTCATGCTTTTTGAAAATTAATCAAAATGAGTCAGTATTTCCAGTGGCTTATGATTGCTAAATAGATAGTGTATTTATAAATGTCATTTTGAAGTTTGTTTTTCTTCTCTTACAGGACCAGCTACTATTAAAGTTAATTGATAATCCACCCCGGTTTAAAGTCGAGGATGCTCTTACTTTACACCATTTTGCAAAACTGTGCAAAATATGTGATTATTTAAGATGTAAATTTATAAAGCTACATATAACTGTCCAGTACTCTGCTTATTGATTATATTACCTTTTTGCTTTGACGAATGTTTCAACGAATTTAAAATTATGCTTCTCCCTTCGTGTGCTCCATCTTCATTTTCCAGCAAAAGGGGAAATAGAGAACAAAATTAGAGAATGAGATGCTGTATTGTATTAAATCTAAGAAGTATTCTGAGTAATAAAAAGCCCTATACCAAAGAGGAGTGGTGCCACAACTGTCCTGCTTGGCAGCAGCTAAGTCATCACTCATTAGTAGCTTTTACACGTAATTCCAGGAGTGATACAGCTTTTTCAAGAGTCGTATGATATTCTGAAATTTAGTGAGCTCTAAATTTGATGCATTCCAGCTTATAAACAGGAACAAAGACACTTGCCAGCATAGGAAAGCTTTTTTCCTTCTCAGCTCTTTGACCCCTTATGCACTGCATAGTAGTCATGGCCTGTCTCTCTCTGTTTTTTTCCTGTCATAAAGACCAAAGAACAAGTTTACTGCTACACAAAGATTACACTGTTATTGAAAGCAGCCTAAGATCTTCAGACTGAAAAGGGGTGACTTACATCACATCTCATATTGATTTGTTCCAGGAAGGCAAAACCAGGAGGTCCTTGTTACCCCTTCCACCTGGTAGTACTACTTGCATAGAGATGTCTTTCACAGTAAGCTACTAGAGAACATATTTCTCTTTATCTCAGAGTGGTTTCTTGGTGTTGGTTGTACAGAGAACTGACTGTGACAGACTTCTGCAGGCTGAATGAATAATTACCATCCTATGAGCAAGCTAAAGGAATAGTTTGAAGATGCCAAAAGCCTTCTGACATTTAGAAAATTTGCACTACAAAAACAATAACACAGAAATTTCATTAAAATCCAGTGCATAATCTACAAACCAGGGTCTCTACTGCATATCCAGTGGCAAAAAAAAAAAAAAAGTCAGGCTGTTAAAGCAGGTCCTCTCTTTGAAGCATATCTGTGACTGTTGTGGGTCTCCACTGCTATGCTTGTCTCTATCTGACTTCCAGTAAACACACTCTGAACTTAACTATTTGCAGGAGGTATTCCTCAGGATAACTTCACAAACACTGTCACATTGTAGGACAGAAGTGTCCACCTCTGGTCTCACCCTTTCAAGCTGAGTCACCTGTGATCTCAATTACAAGATCTGTAGTAATAGGCAAGAACTTACCCTCAGGCACAGGATAGCTCCTCATGAAAAACTCCAAGTGCTTTATAGGTTGCCTCTAAAAATCAGACCTTCAAACACCACTTCTCTTAATGCTATGTCTTGAAAAACTTTGTAACTGATGCCTTGAGGTTTTGGTCATTTATCCATTTTACTGATCAGTATTTTTTTCCCAAGCCTTAGACTGTGTCACCAGGGTATTGGACTGCCTTTGCTGTTTCTACCAGAACTAGTTCAACTCAGTTTCAATCTTGTAGCCAAGGTTAACAGTGATTAAACACACACAACCTGTAACAGGATGTGCTGTTTAACTGGTAACCTGCTGCTGCACTGATTCAAGCTTGAGGAACTCTCCTCCATCTTAAATTTGAATGGATTTGTTGCCCAGCTTTCATGCCATTAAGTGTTCTCATTACTTTAAATCCACAAGCGTAGGAGAGTTTTGTCCATATGGGCAAAGACTGGGCTCTCATAGATGTCTGATATTGGTAATGTTAGCCAAAAAAATAATTAAATGCCTTGAGAGTTCTGAGTCATGAGTCTGTTCTACTTTTGCAGTTCTTACTTTGACTAAGCTCAGGTGGGTGGAAATCCTCAAAGAAATACGGCAGCCAATCTCTTCCTAATGATCTCCATGGAGGTCTCATCAGTGACAGCAACATGAAGCCAAGGCTGAGCCCTTCTGGAAACAAAAACTTCTTAGGACTTGCATGTGCTGACAGAATTAGCTTTTGTGTTTTTATTTCTTTCAAGTGTTTCACTGGGAGCAGTGGATTAGTGCTGTGAATTCATGTTCTGTCAGTACCTGGCATTCAAATACAACTGATCCTGCCTTGGAGTGCAAGCTGAATTATTTCTCAAGATTCATTCTTCATGGGCCCAAATTTATGTAGCAATTAAAGAAATAAATCAGTCAGATGCTGACTGCACATCTTCTTGCTTAAATATCTTTGAAGTGCTGCAACTTAATCAAAGCAAAACCACAACCTGAGTGTGGGGCTTGAGTGCTTCTGTTCATCTGGGCTACAGAGCACCATGTTAGTACTTCCTTGCACCTAAAAGGTGCTTTATTTTTATTGTACTGGAGTAAATTTATATGGTAAGAAATGCTCAAATACACAGCTGACAAACTACGGCTTGGTACATCCCTGAGCACCAGCTCAGTAGCTGTTCCTGGACACAGTTATTTCCATCAAATGTAAGATAACAACACTTAACTTTAAACTGTTTGCAAAGAAGCTAAATGCTGACAACCCACTATTTTCTTCAAGCAGAGAGCTTTCACTTAGATGGTTACTACAGCCCAGCTAGTTTAAGGAATCTTGCACTCAATCACACAGGTGAGCTCTAAGCTATGAAGGAGATGGCACACATACCAATGTAACAGTTTCCTCAGACCTCTAAATCCCTAAGGTTAAAAAAAAATTATTTTCAAGCAGAATCATTTGGGTTCTGACTCACCTGTCTGGAAAGGAAGATGGTGGACTGGGTAAGACGCTGGTGCTCCAGGGGTAATGCTTCCCTGCCACACTTGATGGTCAGCTGGATTGTGAATGAGATGCCAGGTGAGCTGCAATAGCTTACAGCTCTGTATTTGAGGGCATACTGAAACCAATGTCACTTTAGTGATCCATGCAGAGGGAGGAGATGGGCAGTTTGCCATGGTTCCAACAACATGTGATACTTATTCCTTTAATCATCTGGGTTGCGATGCAACCCACCGTGTTGCACCTGACTTTAAGCAAAGCCACGACAGCCTGTTTGTCTGACAAACTTCAGACAGTGAGAATCCTTGAATGTGCACAAATTTGTCCACACAGTCAAAGGAAGAAAGATCCCATAAATGGGGAGACCTGATTGCTGTCTGCAGCTACCTAATTGGAAGATGCAGAGAAGATGAAGCCAGACTTCTCTTGTAGATGCATAGCAACAGGCTGAGAGGCAACAGACACAAGTTAAAATACGGGAAACTGCAATTAGACAGCAGAAAAACATTTTTTTTACCTTGAAATTGAACAAGTAGCATAGAGGTATCCCTTATTAAGTGTAAAATAATTTAAATGCAAACTTTTTTTTAATAATGTGCTGAATGGAAAGGCAAAAGTTATTATTCTTTAATTGTGATTTAAGTGAAGACAGTGCACTTATTAGAGAACACTTGCAATTCCAAGTAGGCTTATCACAACAGGAACAATAGCATGATTTACAAGAGGCTGCAGTATCACCAGCAACTGTAATACTACTGAAGCATTTGTGACTGAATAAGCTGGGAGGGAGAAAAAAAAGGGAAAAAAAAAAAAGCTTATTTTACTTACATTTCATGATCTAAGAAGAATCTTTTTGATCTAGTAGGTGTGAGGGCTTAAGTTTTTCAACTAGGACATGTATATTGGTTTCCAGAATCAACACATGGGTAAAAAAACACCATTAATCTTCTTTGGTGTAAAGAAGTAGAACTGATATATATCAGTGCTTGTTATTTTGACAATTTTGTGTATATTTTTAAACTGGTTTAGTTATTTGTTTTTTAATTATGAAATCATACTAGAAATAGTCTTATATATGCAAGCTCCTGCTCTTTGAAACTGAATTTGTTTGATAAAGCTTCTCTGAGTGTTGTCTATTTTGCAGACTGAGACCAGGAAGCGGCAGTTTATTTCTGTAGCTGTAAGAGAGGTTGCAATACAACAGAAATTCATGCTCCCTCTATCGATGTGAATTCTGAATTAAAACAAACATAGTTTTTACAGCAAGTAAAAATGGTTTGTGAAAGGGCCTGATGGGGCAGAGCAGCATCTGCACAGAAGGAAAACTTGCAACAGTGATTTAAAATGCATTCCTGATAACTGGGCACCTGCAGCTAGTCAGCCTTGGCTTCATTCAGCCCATCCCTCTCTCCCTGACTAGCTTTTAGACCTTGCAAGTATGTAGACACAGGACTTCCTTATTTTATTTTATTTAGTTATAAGAGTTCATTTCAAATTAGGCCTGCACTAAGAGCTTCCTGACATAGCTGTGTCACTGAGGATGTGAAACAAGATTAGTACAATAGGTGAACACATTTAGGCATGCCTGCTAAATACCAGAAAAATGGTCTGCTAAAGAGAAAAATAGTTTTTCCTACTGGGTGACGGAGGCATTGACATGGCCAAAAACCTGTTTCTCTGTAAAACATTATCCCCTGTATTTGCTCAGCTGACAATGGGTGATAAGAAATGAGACTGATTTATAGAATTTCAGAATCATAGAACGGTTTGGGCTGGAAGGAACCTGAAAGATCATCTAGCTCAAATCCCCCTGCTATGTGAAGGGACACCCTCCTCTAGCCCAGGTTAGGCTTCATGCAAGGAGCAGCGAGTCAGCTCCAGCAACGTCCAGGGAGGGCTGAAGCCAGTGCAGCTGAATTTGCCTGAAGTTAGACGCAGCAGAGATCAGGGTGGCAAAGTGTTTCACAGAACAGAGACCCGCAGGAAGGACGGCTCTCTCCCAGCGTTTTCACGCTGCGCTGTTCCCAGAGCCGGCGGCACCTGCGGCCCCACGAGGGGGCTCTGCCCGCGCAGGGATCGGCAGCACCAGCGCTTCCAGGGAGCAGCTCCCACTGCCGCCCCTCCACATCTCGCCTTGAGTAAGGGAGGCACTGCTTTTGTGGGAAACAGTATCCTAACCATGCCTGACTTGGTGTGACATGAAAGCATCTCTCACGTGTCAGGGTCCGTCAAGCAGTTTAAATTTCAGGGTGTTAAACTGGTATAGTTGTAGGTATTATAAACTAGGATAACTAGAACAGGAGCTGCCTCTGGGCTGCTTCCAGTGGAAGCAGAGAACACAGGGAGCATGGTTCATAGCTACCATATGATCTAACTGGACCTGGAATATGTATAAATAAATGGTAACAGGGAAATTACCTGGATGACTTTTTCCTGGTACATTTTCCCCAATCTTATAGCAGCAATAGTTTAAGAAAGCCTGGTATAGACAAGGTAATTGAGATCAATCAAGTGGAGAGATCCTATCATATAAGAGAAAAATAACATCCTTCTATTTTTATAACAGAACACAGTGAAGGGGAAGGGGCATTTAAACAGCACGCACTAACCAAGACAGCTCTTTGACCTCTTTATCTCTTTTAATACAATCTTCACTAAAATTCTTAAGTTAAAATAACTGTGTAATGGCAATCACAAAAGTATAAGGAGAATATATACCCCAGTTCAAGGAAAGATTTGTCCCAGTAATGCATGAGAAAAATTAAGTGATAAAGGTCACTTAAATGTCATTGTCCCCTAGAAAACCTGCCTAGTCTCATAAGTAGCAGCACCTGTCAAATGCACAGTGCTTGACTGCTCACTGCTGTTAGTAGCACTAAAAGAAATACAGATGTAAACTACCAGAGCAACAGTGACATAGGGAGATGATGCAAAGAAACAGCAATGACAACTTCATCAGGCTGCTACTTCCTAGCTGGCAGCAGGGATGAACTCGTTCCTCCTGGCACTGGGCTCACATGACCACCATGATGTCTTCCAGCGGCTTTCTGGTCAGCGCAGGCACAGTAGCATCTTTCTTGGGATAGCCAACAGGGAGCAACAAGAGTAGCTTCTCATTTGCTGGGCGCTGGAGCAGCACCCGGAGCTGGGGGCCACAGTTGAGGGGTGTGGAGGTCACAGTGTACAGACCTGCATTCTGCAGCAAGACAGACAGCGACAGAGTGAGACAGAGGTCTGTGTTCTGTATTTGTAGCAGTTGTTCCCACCAGACCTTTATTCTCCTATTGACTACCCCAGAAATGTTGCTCTGTTAGATCATACTGCAGTCTTTAGAACATCTGATTTACTAACAGCCTTAATGGTACCATAAAAGATGCCTGCTTTGCTTATGGAAAAGTACAGCATTTCTCCACCACAGCAAAGGCACTCTCTGCCTGCCCCATCTGTGTGCTGTACAGCCAGAGCTGGCCCGCAATGCTCCATGTAGAGCAGGACCCATGGTCACAGGGAAGTTCAGAGTGGATATTACTGGAATATCATCCCATGGAGTTGAGGGTTGGACTAGGTGACCTTTAAACCTCTCTTCCAACCCAAACTATTCGGATTCTATGATCTGGCTCGCACAGAGAAACGTTTCAGTTCTTGCCTCCACAGAGCTGACAGGAAGATGCCTTACAGCTTTGTGAACATTTGCTCCCCACAGGGAAAGGAGGCACAGGCACTGTGTCAGAAGTTGTCGCAGGAGTCTGCTTTTGTCTCTCACAGTGGCCATTGTTCCAATTTATATCAGAACCCCAAAGTAGGTCTATGTATCAGTCTTCCTCTCATACAAAATCTCACAAAAGACCAAAAAATCTGACAAACAATAAAGAGCTGACATCATCCAAGGTATGAGCACATAGCTGTCGCTTCCTGAGAACTGCATATGTGGATTTCAGTCTCTCTGTACATGTAATACCAGAATTTTGAGTCTTTGAAATATAAAAGTCAGCCAGAGACAGGTGCTCAGGCAATGCACCTCTCATGTTTAGTAATCTCTATGATCTTCTCAAGAGAAGAAGAGCTAATAGTGGTGGTGCTCAGTGGTGCCTGAGGAGCAGCAATGCACGAAAGGAAGTGTCATTCAAAACAGAATGGAGGAGAAATGGCAGTGCCTGGTAGGAAACTGGCCTAATATAAGAGGTGGCACCTTGCTGTTATCCTGCTGACAGGCCAAGTTAACTATCACAATAGCTTTGCTATTTAAACACTTGTATGAGTACATCAGATACAAGAAGCAGAACTGAGCACTGAGAAACCACTGTGAAAATCTAACTGGCTGGTGTCAAACGTGCTGAGCTTTAGAAATCAGTTCACTTTTAGAAATGTCTTGGAAAGACTGATTGAAATAGTACAGCCTGTTCTGTGGAGTATGTCCCTGGTTTTTTTATTTTTTTTCCAGCATTGTGTAGTAAAAGTGATTTGGTGTCAGGATGTTTTTTAGGGATTACTGAGAAAAAGGGGCCAGTGTGGCACCACACAGCCATGCTTGGGTAGTCTGCAGAGCTTGTCAGCCCTGTTAGCATAAGGCAGAAACCACAGGAGCTGAAGCCTAGAAAGAGTGACAACTCTGGAAACTACATTACATTTTTCTTCTTGTTAACCAGTAGTGAGAATAGGAATAGCCTTCTCAGATGTAGACCTATGTGGAACAACTTTAAAACTCAAAACTAAGATACATTGCCAGGAACTGGAGTATTCCAGAGGACCGATAATGTTAAAATTTAAATAGGGTTCCACTCTCATTTGGGCAGAATAGTCTTGGTATGTAGTCCAAGCTAATAAATTGATTCCAAGTACGTCGATTCTGTCAACATACCTGCAGTGCAGCAAGCAGGATACCACAAGCAATAGAAACACTGATTTCATTGTAGTAATGCGTCTTTTTCTTGCCGTTTGGAAGCCGCCCATATACCTGCTTGAAAATGAGGATCAGATATGGAGCAGTGTCCAAGTACTCTTTGATCCAGTTTGTTCTGCAAAAGAATGTTTAAGACATTTATTTTGCAACCTTTTCACTTTCCCGTGAGCCACATTTACTGTCTACAGAGGGGCACTAAAGGGGCATGACAATTATAGCAGTAGACTAAAGCTTAGAACATCTACTGCAAAGGATTAAGTATTATCAGCTTAAATAGAAACATTTTTGGGAAGAAAAAAAAAAAAAAAGCTTGAATAGAGTTCTCAATTTTAACAGATTTGGCCGAGGAGTTGATGTGCTCACTCTGAAGAGTAGAATTGCATACAAATAAGCTACCTCTTATCTATGAATTGGCCTCATGGGCATTTGCCTGTGAGATTATTTAATTCCTGGAATTTTGCAGATCTGCTTGCAAAAAAAAAAAAAAAAGTTATTTTGTTTCTGGATATTTCAGCCCTGTTAGAATTAATTTGGCTCCCAACGTTTTAAATGACAATTTAAATATATTAATTATGATGTAGGATTTAGATAAGAAAATGTGCACTTTCTACTGTTCACACCCGAAAATATAAAATGTATTGGGTTTTAGTTGTTTGCATAGGACATAAATTTGCATAGCACCTAAGCACATGAAAAATAACATTATGAAATAGGTAGGGCAAATAAACCCTACAAAACTTTGTGCATATGCTTCATTTGGCAAGCCAAGACTCAATAAACATCTTCTCATTGCAAGAAGTTAAGCAACTCAGTCAGACTTTGGAGGGCATTTGGAACAATTAAATATTGCATAATTCAGCACTTGGGTAGGGACAGCCTTGGGGCTACCTCAGTCAGTAGCAAAGCTTCCAATGACTTTGGGAGCTTCATTGTTTGGCAAACAACAGGAAAAATCTAGGACAAGAGTTTCAGCAACAGAGGTTACATAGGAAAAAATAATGATGGAGCCAAATGCTTGGAAAACTTTCAAGATGGAGAGCATATAATGCCTTTTACTGTAAGCAATTTTATGAACCAGCCACCAAGGCACAATTCTATGCATATTTATAAGTTTTTCTTTCCAAGCATGAATCTTAGAAATATATTAAAAGTGAGAAGGAAGACCAAATTGGAAATTATATAAGTCTTTCCTAGACTAAAACACATCTCCTTTCAACCTCCTTAGCTAATTGACTTTTCATACCTCAGTCTTTTCAGATCATTAACCCATCTGTCTCCCATCCTTTTTTTGTAGTTGATTTCCTCTTCTTCTTCTACAATTTCACGAATTTTACATTTTAAATATGGATCTTGCACTACCACAAAGGTCCAGGGCTCAGTGTGTGCTCCACTAGGTGAAGTACCTTCATATAAAAACAGGGAAAGATGAAAACCCAGGAAGGAGGGTGGGCAGTGAGAGGTTTCAGCTATTCTGTGTGAGCTTTCAGGCTGACTAACTGAGTGATGGGAAAGCAAGGGAATGAGACGGGAGGAAAAGGACTGAGGTAAGTTCTGGCAGACAATCCTGTTCATTTCTTTCTTAAAGAATGATAAGTCCCATTCAAGGACAAAGGTTAGTCCTTTCATACAGCCATCTTACAGGAAGAGAAAGTCAAGGATTTGTAAAAATTCCTTTTGGTTCTTATGATGAAACAGTAACATGGTGCAACATAAGCCCATAGTAATGTTATTGCAAAGTGTTACACTGAAAGCAATGCACAGTCTGAATATGCAGCCAGCTCTGAGACCTGATTTTAGCTAAAAGTCAAAACTAATGGCTTTCAGGGAAACAAGACTAAGTGATCACCCACAGGAACCTGTCACTGACTGATGAAGATAAGGAGCTGCACAACAAAGACATCTACCATGTAGCATACAGCTTTGAGTTTTTTGTCCCAAAGGCAGCTGGTGTATGTAGGTGTGCACATATAAAGTCTGCACTTGCTCACCCACCAATACCATAGGAGAACATTTTAACTGCCTAGAGATTAAAAAACAGAAGCTGAAGGATATGCACAGGCTCACAGATACATGGGTTGAGAAGACTGCTTAGATCTCTCTGATCCCTCATACACATTTAAAAATATTTGAAGATCTTAAACACATACAATAGTTGCTTACCTAAGGACTGATTTTAGTTTGAGAAACACTGAATAAGCAGCTTGAACTATCTTTATATATTAAAGTGTTTATATATTGTGAACCTTGCCTCTCCTCAGGTTTGGGTAAAAACTGATGACATTTATTCTTCACTTTGTTTTCTTTTTTTCTACACAGCCCAAAGCTTTCAGGGTTACTAAGTGCTTCATCTGCACGCCAGGCTTGTTCGCTTTGCTGCTTTTGCCAAAACATGCTCAGTGTTTTAATGACTCCTAGTTAATTAGAGGGAGACAGAGACTCGTTACAGTGCAGTAACAAAGCTGCTTACAGTTTTTAAAGGGAAAACAATGCATCTTAAATGTTGACAATCTTTATATTATTAATCCTGCTAAAGGCCGCTGAGCTGTTGTCTAAGGCAGCTTGGAATATTTTCTATAGCAGGAGCAGCTGGCTTATAGAATAAGAGAAATAATGAGGGTCAAAACCACTCCTGGATGAAGTCAATGTTACTAAAGCAGAGGTGAGATTAGGCCAGGACATGACAGTAATGATTTGAAATGCATAAATTCTCAACAACAACAACAAAATAATCAATTTCTGACAATCCATCAAATAACCTTGATCAGGGTCCTCAGCATAATATTCCAATCATACGCAATGAGAGTCCGGACTGATGTCAGAAGGACTGGAAAAGACTTTTTTTTCTAGAGATACATTCTTTTTCTATAATAAACCCCAACCATTTATGTCAACTGAAATATTCTGCTTACCTAAGAAAATTTAATCAATTCGTTTGTGGGGAGAACCCAAACATCAAAACCCACACATGATAATCATAATGCATGGCATTTTATAGCATGTGAAGTACACATGGTTTGACATTTTAAAGAGAAAACACTTTAATATTTCTATTTGAAACGTGTCTCACTAAACTACACACAAATTTTATTTTAAATAACATCTTTTAAAGGTTGAAAATGAAGTGTTTTGTTCTATGCTGTTGAAATGCTCTTCTTCCCTTATGGGTGAACTGCAAATACAAAGGAATTGAGAACACTCCAAACCATTCCCCAATATTGTTTGTTGTTCAATCTGAGTAATTTCTGATCAATCGATGGGTGCTAATTCATTCTGGCTAAACAGGTGAATTTGGTAAAACCATGAGCAAGATGCCAATTCCCTTGGCTTTTCCACATCACCTTTTCACAGTTACACAGTTGAACAACAATGGTGATTCTTTTTTTTTTTTTTCCAGACCTTGAACCACTCAGTACCATACCTGCTGTTCTGATGACATTATCGATAACCTCCCTGGGGACTGGCTCATCACTAAGAAACCTGACAGATCGCCTCTTATTTAGAAGCTCGTAAAATGCTTGTGACCTCTTAATCATTTCAGCCTCAGAGTAGCGCTCTGCAGTGAAGGGGACATGGGCAACATTTTCTTCAAGTCCTTGCCACTCTTCATCAGCATCTGTAAGAAAACACAAGTAGTTAGGGATTTTTCTTCCTGGAGAATGCTGTTGACATCCTTGGCATTCACCACTGGAACTCACTTTGTCCTGCATTGGCATACACTTTACTTCTACGCCACTGGTAAGGCAAAGTCTGAGATTCCCGTTGACACAACTCATTGATCCCTAGCTCCAGCTACTGAATAAACACCTTGTTTAAATACCAAGAGGCACGAGGGTCCAGGCTGGCTGTAGCAAATGTGATCCACAAAGAACTCGTTGCCTTCTCCACTTCAGCCTACAAGCCTGCCTGCAAAAATGGGTTACAAGCTGAAACAGCAGTGAAAAACTGGCCAGGCCTTCAGCCCACTTTTCTTAGCAAGTAAATGTGAATATGCGTGTTCCTTCTTGAGCAGTCTAATAAGAAAAGAATCCTGGTTAAATAACTGAAGTTAAGGAGAGAGTTTAACTACCAATATGTGTAAAATCTCCTCTGAAGAGCTGAATGTCAACTTCTTCAATATTCACGTTTCATAGCTGAAGCACTGCAAGTCTTAGCTCTGCAGAAATGTGACTTTGTGGTTAAGTTCTTTGGTTTCCCAACACTTTCAGCATAAGGCAAAATGGATGACAGGCATCTATACTTAGAATAACAATATATCAAATATAGGGTATTGTGTTTCTTATCTTTAATTTAAGAACTCTAAATGGTTCACCATTTTACTGAAATCTGCCTCTCGGTGTTTGTTTAGATCACAAAATGAATCTTGTCTTGTCTCTGAGATCTCTTTCTCCCCTTTATTCCTAGAATCAGCAGAGATAGCATTTTTTGTGGCTATGATGTGGAAGTTAGAGCCATTTAAATGCTGCCTTTTGACTAGTCAATAGTATTGAGCAATTTGCTATAGAGAGCTGAGTCAGGAAAAATATTCCAGTTCTTTTTCAGTCACCATTAGGCTATTATTCCAGAATCATAGCAATCTCCAGTGCGAATTCAGACAGTAATTATTTCTGTGTTTTAGTAGTATGAAGTTGCCTTAGAGACCAGGCTGAATTTTTGTTCATTTTATAAACAGCAGTGAAAATTCACAAGTGTATCTCAGCATTTGCAAGAGGGTGAAATAAATCCATTTTCATACATTGACTCTAAACAGAATTATTCTGGTCCACAAACAACACACATTTAATTTTGCATACGCAGAGAATTCACTTTGTTTAGCATTTCATGCCTCTGTTAAGTGCTCTTGGTCACAGTCTGCAAGGACCTGGCTCCAGGTTAATGGGAAGCAGTGACCTGCTGTAAAAATTATTTTTGTGACCATCTTGCACACTCAAACTGAAAAGTAAAAAGGTACCTCTTCCTAATGTTTCCTTTGTGGTTTACACTTGGTAAAGTAGTGATGAATGTGTGCTTGTTTTGTGGTATGGGAGTTTTTTTCTCATGAAAGAAGAAAAGAAAAGAAGTGCAATTGCTGTTTGGTCAAGATGGCTCAACTTAATAGTAAGGTGAAAATGGAAATGTACTTTCAAAGATTTGAATATGGAAAAAAGATGAGACAACTTTTGAGAATGAAAAACCTTCATACATTCCAACTGAGAATACTGGCAGAGGGAGAGGAAGAATCCAGAAGTGAGGGAACTGACACACAAAACCAAAACTCTCCTGGCATTTTTTTTTATAAATTTATCTATTATTTATTCTCCTCTACCATGTGTCTACCATTCATTCTCAGCAGTTAACATTATCCATATGCTAAGCTAAAATCATTATCAGCACCATCTGTTTAGTACATGCTCTCTATATCTTTAATTGCTGTGTTTAGATGTACTCCTGTTTGTATGGTCACGTTATACAATACTACAAGTGTCTTGTTTACATCTCTGTATATTCCATCATTTGATGGACAACAGACATCCTGCTAGTAAGCCTATTACCTTGTTACCCACATTCTCAAAATTGCCATTGATTCCATTGTACATTTACAGTAGTCATCAGGCTTCCTGCCTTTTATGAAAATCTGAAATGGTTTTGGCTCAGGCATCCCATGAATCTCATTTTAATGAAATCTCACTTTAGAAGTACTATTTCTCTAACTCTATCAGGAATTTCTCTCCAGATACATTTTAGGATGATGACTGTGATCTTCTCGGCAGTTCATATGGGAGGTTATAATCAGCCTATAAATCGTGTAATAAATCTTGCCCCATTTTGTAGCAAAAAATCTTACCATGAGTTCTTTATAATGTGAACTCACACTGAGAACAATGACTTGTCATTTCACTTCTGTTGGCCACTTATTTTACCTACACTGACACTTCCCTGTATTGTTGGCTTCCAATTGTATGTCATTAGGAAATGTCACATGTGCCCTCCTTGGTTTTATGCAAAGACCACTAGATAATATTAACAAATGATCCTGAGACTGATCCTTGAGAAACCTCAGGCTAAATAGGATGTAATCTGTCAAACAAACCCTTTCAGTTTCTTCTCTAAGGAATTGCTTCCTAAGCATAAAATTCCTTTGCAAATCTCTTTTCTGGTGTAAAGACAATGCACAGGAAAACAATTAAATAAATATAAAGAAACCTTTCAGATTTCTGGACATTAAATTCTGGGTAACTGACCCTGTGGTTTTTTGCTTGAATAACAGCAGACTGCTACAAAATCTGCCACTACAGGAATCCCAGTAGTGAATCCAATCTTGAGCTAAATGTGTGGCTAAAAGAGAATTAAAAGAGATGGATTGCCTTACTAGTGGATTATAAATAGTGCCTACCAGGCTGATCCTGGAAACCCCAAGAGTTGGTTATGCAAAAGGAAGCAAAAGAAGTAGCAAGTGGGAGAGGCAGACCCTGGAAGAAAGAAGCCAGAATCAAAATATTGTGAAAATTACATCAAACTGGAATATAGTTACAGAAGGTTTTTTAAGATCTTCGGAGAAATGGAGTGGCTCTTTTTTAAAGAGAAGACTTACTGTTTTACCTAGTAAATGGAAAGCTAAGAGGTGATCCGATTTCTATCTATAAACCACAGGAGGATATATACCAGGGCTGGAAGAGTATCCTTTAAACTATAAAGAAGATGGAACAGGAAAAATGGGTATACAGTAGTGTTAAATAAGTTTGAGTGGACAGGTAGAGGATTTTTAACCTATAGCATGGAGTTCTGGACCAGCATTCCAACAAGGTTAAAGAAACAGGGTTATGAAAGGCCAGTTTCCATGCTCATTCTGTTGATGACAAAGAGAGATAAACACAGTGATGCATCATGTCCAACTGAGTCCTGTGTTCCTAAATGACACAGAACATGAACTGTCACTGAAATGGAAAATTAAATTGCTACTGACTCATTCATGTCAGTAGTATTATTAAGATGTGGGAAGTCTTTGAAACTGGGGAGAAGAGAAATGCTTTAAGTGGAAGAGGTCTATTATGAGAAGTATGACAAGCAATGAACAGTGTATTTTCAGAAGAAATAGAATATTTGGAACGTCCCACATTGTTTTGTGTTCTTTATGTAGGGTGTATCACCAATGTCCCCACAATTAAATCTATAATAATAAAATATCTTTGTTATTTATCTGTGCAACTGATACCCAGAATAACAAGGATACAAATAGAATTCAACCTCATCTTCCACATCACTGTAAGCTGGGTCTCTGTTTACTTTATCCATCAGTTGGACAGATCTGAATACATGATCAAGAAAGTGATTGATACACATTAAGACTGGAGATGGTTTTGCAATAGTCCAGATTTCATTGTGTAAATCTAAATCAGTGGGAGATGAGGTACCACCACTTTGGAACAAGATGCCAACTACTATTAGAAAGCCCTTGTGACTCATTGTTCAAGGCAAGGCTGAAGAAACATATTTTTCATCTGTATCTAACTGGTAATCACACATGGCCTAGGGCAAGACACAGACAGACATATACATATACTAACCATTCTTGCCAATCCACGGCACAACAATCTCTCATTTTGGATCTTGTAAATGAAGGGAGAAGTTACAGGACAGATAGGCATGCAAACAAAGCTGCAGTGCCGCCAGTTAAAGCATTAAACAAATGGACTGAGTGCTTTGCACCTAATGAAGGAACTGGGTTTCTGTATGCTCCAAGAAACACTCATCCCTTCAGCTACTGAAAGCAGAACACACGCAAGCTCCAGAGCACTTGGTCCTCACTCCTCTACCCTTCATTGCCAATAAGTGACCCTACTGAGTCTGCCCAAGCAGTTCAGCTAATTACACTAAATGCTCTGCTACTCAAAGGTATGTCCCTCTCAGGGGAAACATCCTTGACGGTGCCACTTCAGTGAAGGTTCACGATGTCTACAAGTAAGGTCAGTGCTTTTCTTACAGAGTGCTTCACACGCTTGGCAAATAGACCTTGTTTTGGTCATGGACACAAATCAAATGACTTGGTCTTAAGCTGTCCCTTCTCGTTGAAGGTCTGTTGAAAATTCAGCTTGTTCACCTGGGGCAGCCCTAGATTCTAGCATTAGACAAGGCCTCAGGAATGTTTCATCTCACCTAACTCCAATTCTCTTCAGAGGAACTTTAAATACAAGCCAGCTTGAGACATTTAAGTAGAAATGAGCTAGTCTTATAAAGTAAGATATGTTAATAAAGTAGCAGAATTTACACAGTACATAAAACATTCTTTACTATTATAAAAATCTCTGTGTACATCCATGTTTCCATTTCAGCATCTAGGGCAGTTAGTGAAAATTTTAACACTGACAAGGGGAATACGTTTTGATCTCTACTTACAGACTTAGTAAAAGATCCTTACCAGCTCTTCTACTTCTCATTGCTACCCTTCTCACTTAAGCTGGACTTTTCCCTGCTGAAGAAAAACTTTCCAGAGCATGATGAAATTGTTTTAATTTTTCTAGATATAAAAGACATGGTTTGAATCACACACCATTAAGGGAAAGATAATTATTTAATATTAAAAGCAAAATAGCAAGAAAACCTATTTTAATATTGGATGACACGGTAAACTGAGAAATGTTTTGTCTAAAAACAAATAAATCTTTTAGCAACAGCACCAATATGTCTACCTGTCAAATTTTTTGCAAGGAATTTTAAACTAGTACAATTTTGAATTTAACACTTGAATAAAATGGTAAGCAACTAGCACATAAACAAATTACTTTGTATATGGAGCTGTGGCACTGAAGCTCCTTGTTAAGAACTAATAGGTTTGTTTATTTAGAGGATCTAAATTTTTAAAACTCATAGAAACAAGTATAGTCCAAGATGATAATTCATAGATTAGCATTTGAACTACCCTCAGGAATTTTAATTTGCAGTAATTTAACTGAACTAGCAAGCCATCAGTGACAAAGGAATTACAAGATAATTTTATGCAGAATCTATTTTGCATTGAAAAAAAGGAGGATACAACCCATGAAGTAATTTTTAAAGAAATTTTATGCATTTGGGAATTAGTCAAATGGTTTAAAATGTTCCAGGTATCAACTATTTCTGGAAACTGATACAAAACACTAATTCAAAGTACACTGAACACTGAGAAAAGAAGATAAATAATGGCTCTTAGAAATAAGTATATGTACAGAAGAACAATATAAATTTCAAGATTTCTAGAAGCAGAGTCAGAGAATGTGTCATTATTAGACCAAAAAAAAGAACCCCCAAAAAAAGTCTTTGAAGCCAACTTGAAGAAAAGAAAGAAAGTTAAAAAAGAGGGCTGTATTAACTACAACTTTAAAAACTTCATAGGAATAGAACTCTGTGTATTTTTATTTCACAAGGAAATAAAGGGAATTTATAGAGGATAGTCAGGAAGTAAGAAGAATGAACAGTACATGAAGTGTTTAGACTTTTGTCCAAGCTGTGCATCAGAAAGAACTACTGAAAATAAGAGGCATTCTGTACGGGTTCAAATAGGCAGTTGAGTGAAGAGATTAGCACCATCACCACATTCTGCTCTTAAATATTTGATCAACATAGCTCCCCAATGGTTCTAGTTCCAGCTAAAGCTCTCAGGGACATTCTCAGAAGCCACAAATGGAGGACTTAAAACAATTTATAACTTTTTAGGGGTGCTGAGACCAAATATGTAGCACTGGGTGGTAAAGTGGAATGAGATGTCTACAAAATCACCATGCAGATAGAAACTGTCTGCTCAGGTCTTCCCTTTGCTCACAGTTATAAGACCTGGCAAGAGGTTGGGAGGACTCGAGCAGGATCTCCTTTCTTTCCTTGCATTGCCCATACATAGAGTCCCTCATAGGTCTGAGATCTGTTGTTCAGAGCAACAGACGGGGTCTTCGAAAATGTGTTTTCTTTTTGCCCTCTGACCTGGATCTGGAGGATTTAGAGTTTTACACCAACAGCGACATGACATGAGGACTGCCTCCTTCCTCAGAGCTGACAAGCTCGGGGCACAGCAGCAGAGTAGCATTATACATTGCTGTCACCACGGAGAAGTCCAGAGGTTTACATCTCCTTTATTCATGTCAGCAGATAAAATTCAAACAGCAAAGTGTTCAGATGTATAAGATTTTTCTTACCTTCTTCCTCTAAGGGATGGTCAGTACCATCTTTTAAATCTTCATCCACCCATGGGCGAGATGTAAGCTTGCTTTTAATGTCACGTTTTTCTTTCTCTCCACTAGTTTTCTTTAGTATTACCCCAATCAAAACACATATAATGGCTATAAAGACTGGGGTGAGGGAAGAAAAGAGTGCCATGACTATGGAAATACGGAGCCTTTCTTCCAAGTTCAGTAGTTTCTCACGAAAAGGAGGGGCTGAAGAGGAAAGTGCAGAATGGCAATAAGCAAAAAGGGGTGGACCCAAGGTTCAGTCCTCGATCATATCCTGCTTCTACTTTTCAGTCACCTCCCCCACAATCTTATCTGCAATGTGCTCCTGCTGTTAATAAACAGCTCATGCTGTTAAACAAACTCCAGACCCAGGTTTATATATTTTCTGGGGAGAAACAGTTTATAAAAAGCTTGCAGAGGCACTGACCATATACATATAAATGATGTCCAGTGCAAAATAAATTTAAAACACCCAATAACTTTCAAAACCCCAGACTAAGGCAAAAGACTTCTTCCTTCTTGTTTTTATTGCTATGGTCGTCCCAATAATCTTTCTCTGTAACAGTGGTTATGAGAAGAGCCAAGGGGGAATATGACTTTCCAAAACTGATCATCTCTTCAATTTTTAATTCATAAAATTAGTGGTATTACATGTGTCCCAGGAAATCAGAATATTACCAATTGAATACCAGCTTGCAGAACCAGCTTTGGCTATGTAAACAGGTCAATAGAACAGTGGCAGCATTACCTCTGTGTAAAGTATGAATGAGATGTTCACAGAACTTTGTATTCATGCTGGATATTCTGAGGGAATTGAAAAGAAAAATATAGGGAATCAAAGTAAAAAATATTTGAGGGCCACAGTGAATTTTAAAGCTATGATTCAGATTCTTATCAAAGATTAAAAATCAATATGATCTTGGTTTAATACAATAATGGTCAATGTCTAAATGCTTAACCCATTTTTTACTTCAGCCAGCTGCTTGGGAATTGAGTCAACACAGCAGCATGGAACAGGTGTCTTTATCTGGGACTGTTGGGATATACTGGATAATGAAATGTCAGATGCCAGTAGGTGCTGAGGAGTGTGCTGGAGAGCAGAGTAAAGGGTTACTGACTGCATGCAGTCACCAGTGCCCATCAGCCCTTTTTAGCATCAGCTAAGCACAAGCCTTATCTCATGCTATAGGGCGTCAGTTCTGAAATCCTAGGAAGTTAATCCCATACCAATCCATGGCAAATTAATCTATGTTTTGAATAAGCCTACCCAAGATAAGAGGGAGCAGTCTTGGCTGTAACCATTCCAGGAGATGGTGAGCCCCAGGCACATCTCACACTGCAACAGGCACCTGCAGGGGACATTGCAGGTCATGCCTAGGGCATTCCCAACTTCCTCAGTGTGAAAACCAGGACACACAGGGGAAAGAGAAGTTGGGGTATGCACAGGTTTCATCCTGACAGGTTCTCAGTTCACACCTTACCACTCACATCTCTCAACCTGCTGTTTTTGCAGCTCTGGGCACACCCTTATCGGTCTCATTTGACACTGTCAGTCCAAAGGCTCCCTATCTTCCAGTGTGTCAGCAGATACTGCCAGCTGCCTTGAAGATTGGTCTGTGTGTTGGGAAGCACAGATTAATGATCAAGTTTCTGCAAAGGAAGAGGAATGTGTGGCTATGCCGGTTGGCCACACACAATGATAGTCTGGCCAACAGTCCAGTCATGTATCCTCTTTTAATACAACCTCCTTTTATTAAAAGGGCAATGCCAAGAAAATTACTCAGCTGTGCACGTAGTGCCCAGACATACTTAGAGGCAAAATGAAACTGCCTCACAGCTTGTACCCAGGCTGGGCTTTCTCAGTTGCCCAGCTCTAATACAGATTAAATACTTTGCTGATGTTGCAGTGCAACCTACTCCAACACACAGGCCCCTGGTCTCTGTAGGTACTAGTCCTCCCAGGCAATGTATGGGATCTGTGTAAGAAGGGCAGCCCCAGAACCTGTGGTAAGTGCCTACCCAAATCCATCAGAGATGAAATAAAGAGGGCATGAAAAAGTTGTGCTTAGGTTTATAATCTAATCCGGTAAAGTTGGCAATAAACTAGTACCTACCTTTGGCTAAGAGGACAACTTGCTTGAAAACTGAAGCCATGAGTCTTGTCTTTCCTGCTCTCCAGTCAGTTTGTGACCTAGGACACCTGCTTGAGTCATTGATGTTGGGGTGCATGTGTAAAAAGCCCCAAGACACATACACTGTACAGGGACAGAAAGGAAAAAAATTATAATGTGGAGAAAAAAAATAGAGGTGCTCCACCTAATTCTAATTAGAAACAATTAATTTATTCATGCAAGTAGAGAAGGAACCTGTAATTTCATAAGGCACATTTTCAACAGCCTACTCTGTAGCAAGAAAGGAAAAGAGAATGTGCTCTGAATGGTGCTGACTATTTCTCCCACGTGGAATATATTAACCTTGAATATTCACATACACATAAACTAGGATCTGGATGTTTTGCAGCTGAGATTCCACCCTGTGGAGAGAAAAGTCTATGCTGAAAGAGAAAAAAGCAATATAGAAGGCTGAATGATGTTGTTTAAAATAACTACCTCTATTTGTAATGCTGGGAACTTTGTAATCACTCACTCCTCTGGAATAACTGTGACTTCCTTTGAGGTAATATTAATTTTTCTCTTGTAGAGCAGAGAAAGAAATAAAGCTTACTATAAGTCCCTTTGGTATTAACTTAAACAGAACCTATTTGGTGTTACACACTGAAGATTGCTAGCTTGAACTTCAGCCCCACAGAAACCCCACAGCACCTTGTTTTATTAAAACATGATTTACTTTCAATAACTCCATATTGTAGGCATTCAAAATATAAACATGGTGATGCCTTGAGGAACTGTGATATGGGATGGTTGGAAGCAGTCAGCTGTCGTATGGTAGATTTCAGTGAGTTTTTCTGTTAGACTTTTTTTCGATTCAAACTTTATAGAAATGAAATTCTAACTTTCATGACAAATTTATTAACCGTATTTTCTTCTGTTCTATTGTAAACCCCAAAGCCTAGCAGCTGGATTTGGGGCGGTTTTTTTGAATCCCAACAAAGTCAGAGGAAACATTACAGATAACACTTCTCCTAGGAATTAACAAAGTTTCCTGACGAACACGGAAAGAAGGTAGAAAATTTTGATACAATTACGCCTTTTGAGAACATTAAAGTACTCAAGCATTACTACATGAAAACCATGTAAACACTCTTAAAAAGATACAGACCATCATACTAAAAGCTTTTGGACCAAAAATTCTTGGTTTAATATTTCCCATGAAATTCTGTGCATAGTTGTTGTTCTGAACAACAACAAAAAAATTTACTCAGGTATCAAATATAGCCCTTTATTGTTTTTCTCAAAGCAAAAATAGGTAATGAGCAAATGCCTTTGGTGCAGGCACCCGGCACATCCCCATCAAGGGAAAATTCATGCAGAGGCCGTGCACCCATCGTGTAACATGGGTGTGTGACTGGAGCATGACAGGCACATCTCAGGCACGTGATTGCTGCATGACTTAGGCTTGATGGGCCTGTTCACCATTGTAGGCTACAAGAGCATTTGTAGCCTATAAATGGCATTTGGTCATCACACATTTTTACTTTTGATACTCGAGTACATATTTTTCCTTCAGAACAACGACAACCATGGACAGAATTTCATGGAAAATATTAAAATAAGAAGTTTTGATCCAAAAGCTTTTAGTATGATGATCTGTATCCTTTAAGAGTGTTTAAAATGTGCCTATCTAAGTTGGTACCATGTTAGCTCTGCACTAAGCTCATGCAACTCTGCTGCTGAGGTTGTGGACTTACTACCTCTCCTATTTTACCATCCTACCATAGATGCACTGTATGGGTGCAAAGCCACCTTTCAGCACTCAAGTGTGAGCTCTGAGTTATGCAGCTCCACCTCTGCTTTGGGTGCTTGCTGCTGGTTCTTCCCATCATTCTTCATGACCTCAACATACCCCTCTCATCCTGCATGGAGCAGTCTTATGGCATTACTATGAGATTGTCTCATGCTTAGGCAGGAGCAAGTCTCTTGGTGAGTTCTTACGTGCATATGAGGTTTAACAGAAGAATTACACAAAAGATGTAAATGGTAGGAGATCCTCCGAATGCACAAATTATCAATGAATTATGAGTGGGTGAATGTGAGCTACATAAATGCACAGAGGTAGAAGGTAAACCAAAACCAGCAGCCCCCAAAGTCTTTCCTACCTGTCTTTTTCTATTGGTACTTTATTGGAGAACTCTTAAGACTTCTTATTGGATGCTAGAGGAAAATAACAATATCTAGACATTCAAAAAGGGATTCAATACATCTATTCAGATTGGATTAACTGTCAAATGCAAAGTATGGTAGTTAATACACTTAATATAGGAAGCCTCTGATACTGAGGAAGACATACGGAAGGAGGGACCCTTTTGTGCAGTCCTTAGCCTTCCTGTTTTTCCTAATCATCTATCCTTGGCCATGTACACACACATCAAGGGTTATAGCACTTAACGTCCTCAGATGGCTGGGACTTGGTATGAGAAGTATTACTGTAGCCAAAAGCAGATCTCTATAAAAGAAAGCAGTAGTAGGAACAAAGAATGCTAACAGGGAATGTACAAGAGTGCAGAATAGGGTGAAGGCGGTACTTACAATAAATAAGTCTGTGAGAGGAAACAAGTTTTTGGGTGTTGGCTGCAATTCCCATTGTAAGTGTCGCTTGCTGAACATTATCAGTTACATTCCTATAAGGAACATGTGCACTATTTCTGCTGCTAGTCAGTGCATAAGCCACTGTCAGGCCCCCTGAGTGATATACCAACATGTGATGGAGAAAGGGTCCGCACAATAATCTGTGTTTACAGTTAGAAAAAGGAAAGAGTCACCACTTGGTATTGCCTAGAGATGCAGTAAAATACTACATTGTCTTCAGAAGTAAGGTTGTGACTGGAGTTGGTGTTTACTGAAAAGAAAAAAAAAACAACAAAGGCTATTTCAGTGCCATCCATGGCCAGCTCCCAACACAGTATATACCTGCTATGGGCAAGGCAGAAGCACATGTGAACTACTTAATCCATTTCCTCAATCAACACATAGAGACAAATGTCTGGGATCAGCTGAAACTTATATATCAGGTATTGGCATTACTAAAAATATCATTAGCTTAATAAGCATCTCCATCTCTATGATACATCTAGCACATCCCCTCCTGCCTTCTGCCAGGGACCAGCACACAGTGCTTCTGAGCAAGGTGACCCTCTCTTTCCTGCTGTCTCTTGCACTCACATATACAACCACCCCCTGCCCCCAAGACAGCTGTATGATCTCTTTATGACCCCTGGAGATATCAGATATCTTACCCTGTAGTACTGGATTTGATTATCTTTTTCATTAACTTAGCTCAGATTGCCATAAATGTTATTAGTGCTTATGAACTACCCTTTTGAAATCTAACAGTACAGTGGGTAATACAATTAAGTCCCATAGCAACAAAAGCACAAGACAACAGTGCACCATGCAATTCTTTCCATTTGTCCTCAGTATACTGCCCTTAAGTTGCAAGCTCCCTGTGTTTATATGTTAGAGGTAGAAGAAATAACCTAGCTATAGGCAATATGATTCATTAATATCTTTCTAAATGGCATAATCCATTTATTAAGATCTGTGGTATCAGATAAACCATTTCTTGGGAATGCTCAACGGGACAATAGTGGTCCTAATAGTATTCCTGATTTCAGAAAATAACTTAGATTTTAACCCAGATACTAATTTACCCCCAAAATCATAACAGAAGGAGCAGTTTGCTGTTGCTGTATAATGTTACCACATGAACCTGTAGGAATGAGTTTACCCACGGCAGGAATCTGGTAGACATAATAGTGCTACTCATTAAAGTAAAACTGTGTGGGTGAGTTTTCAGAAACCCTATTAAAACTTTCAGCTCTGTAAACAAAGATCTTGAAAACGACAGAACTTACATGATAACCACCAAGTGACTGCAAATAACACAGACCTTGAAAGTTATTTGCCCCAAATATGGGGATACAAATACACAAAGACAAAATACTACTTTTCCATAATCACTTCTAGGTATAGACTCAAAATAGGCTATGTTCAAATTTGGTTTATTCTGTGAGTAACCTTTGATACAAGCCCATGGAGAAAAGTAAGGACCATTTCTAAATAGCCTCACAGTAGGTGGGAGTGCACAGCCTAATAAATCCTAAACACCCCCTTCAGATTAGGGGTGTTTGGAGAGCAGGAAGGAGGGCTAGCAATGGTCCCCCTCACAATAGCCATCAAGCTGAGAGTAGCCTTTTCCAGATAAAATATCACAGTAAACTAATTCTCTGCATATTAGGCCAAAGAGGGGAAGGCAAGGGCAAAATGCAGAGGTAGAAATTCAAAAGTCAGATTCTGTACGACCATACTGCCTGAGGTGTGGGGATGAAACATAAGCACAGGTAGACCTAAACCAGCTCCATAATCAGAGCCACATAGTTTCCATGATGCCAAAGGCAAGAGGTACCAGCTTAGCCATGACCCTAGGCAAGGACACAAACAGCTCCTCATGCTGACATCCCTCCAGCTGCAGCTCTCTAGCCTTCATCCCCAGGTTCGCAGACCCTACACGTGCTCTGCCTGGGCTTCTGATTGCAGCACAGGCATCATCCCAGATTTCTCTTCCCCAGCAGTTCAAGATGCAGGAGAATGAGTGTTTACAGCAAATTTATAGTCGTGTCCCACATGATCAGACTTTTCAAATCATGATGTGAAGTGAGGTAACAGCAGTAGAGAAATGATAACTGAAGTCCTTTGTAGCTGATGTAAGAAACAGTGCTATTTTCTTTTTGATGTGAAAAAGAAATATAGGGAGACAAAAGAATAAAAGTATAAAACAAAATGTAAAAGGGAATAAAAATTACACACACATCCCCTACTTTTTAGAGGTGGATTTTTATTTCCAATTGCTAATATATCTTTTTTCATGTGTTCACACAGAGGAAAATTGTCTTTCCTTCCATAATATTATGACAGGACAGCTGAATGGCAGCATGGAGCATTTTAAATCAGCATTTCAAAGCCTCAGCTATTCCAGAAATAGCTATTCCTATTACTTCACTTTTTATCTGCAAAATCAAACCGTGGCTTAGTTTATTTGAAGAGTTTCTTACTTGATTACATCTAAGCCTCTAAAAACTTCATCTAGGAAAACAGTTTCTAAGCTATGAACATGAAGGAAGCCTTGAATTCCTATGTAATCATAAATAGCAGTGTTCAAAGATTTCAGTGGTTTTGTGGGTTGGTTGTTTGGAATTTTTTTTCCTCTTCTTTACATGCTTTGAGTTAGGCTCCCAGCCTCCTGAAGAAATCTATCACAAGGCTGAAGCTCTGTCCTTACTGCCAAGGGCATCAACAGCCTCCTCTCTTCCTTGAGGTGGTCTATCCATCGCTAGCTCCAATCCCTTTCCAGCTGCTCTCCTTCACAGTGTTGCTTGGACAGTGGATTGGCCACATGGGCTTCTTACCCAGCCTAATAGCGAGAATCTCCCCTTCTTTTCCCTCCCTAAGGGGCCTTTTGCAGCCCTCTTGAACTACCTCCAAGCGAAACCCTTCCTCCTTTCTGGTAGTATCAATAGTGGCTAAGCATTAATTGTCACTGTGACTCTGGTTCACCTGCATCAAGGATGATGGTGTTCCAGCATTTCCCTTTCCCTTACTCCATTATTTGTTGCTTGTAAAAGGAAGCTGGGAATTAAATGCCCACGCAATACACAAAGTCCATATCAGCACATATGCTGATCCAGCTCTCAGGTAAACCACAGAGACACCAGACACTGTGGGGAGATGTTTTTAGAGTGTCTGATAATGTCAAATATCTTGGTATCCAGAGAGGGTGGGATAGCTGGGTTGTCACGTCAGCATGCTCCAAAGGGTCCTTGAGGCTGGAAAGTCACATGCCAAGGAACCCAGAATTACAGATCTTGTTCCTATCACGAGTGACCGTTTTAAAGAGAAATCCCAAGCACATGGAAAATTTAAAGGACCCCCACAAAGAACTTGACGAAGATATTTTCACCTTTCCCTAAGGCCAGAAAGAAAAGTATTTTTTCTGCCCGAATCACTGATCTAAGACTTTAAGAGATTCAGATCTCTTGCCCAACTCTACTGTTACTTTTATCCTATGTGTAAATATTTATTTCACAACCTGTCATATCAGATAATCAGCAAATCACTCCTCTTGGGTTGTAGTCTGCCATCTGACAGGTTGCCAAGGGGTGATTAATATTCACCATCTTCCTTCCTAAGAGAAAGAAGCTACAGTTTTGCCTGGCTGGTCCAGAAAACAAAGTAGCCTTTCTCACAATGGTGCTTAATTCAAAATCCAGCACTGTTCAAACAATTCACTTTACTCAGCTAACACTTCTTTACAGACAGTTGCTCTCTGAAATGAGACTGGATAATAATGGACTGTTTGAAAAACTACAACTACACGGGGCTACTAAACTGTTCAAAGTTTGCTATTCCACCAGCCACTAGACTCAACATGTGGTTTCTCTAATGGGCATAGATCTGATTTCAGCATACAGAGCTTGGATATGCATTTGTCTGAAATTTTTCCTCTGGATCTTTGGGATCTAAATTCATTGAATAGCTCAGACTAACTACATAAGCAAAATCCACTTTGCATCCCCCTGTGAAACTCTTTCCTTATTTGTCTCACTTAAACAACAAAAAAGCTCAGGCCATGACAGCCATTTGAGATCTACGTTCTGAATGAAAAAAAAAAAAAAAAAAACAAAAGCATTCTCTCATTCCTTCTAAAATAGGAACATGGTCCTTGACACCAGGGGAAAAGTTCGCAAAGGGAAATAATAATCAGTGCTATCTGAAAGATCTGGAGGATCTCATGCTGCCCCATCACAGATATATTATGACTGTAGTCACTGGTATGAGGAAGAGGAAACCCAGACTCCACAGAGGTTATTTTTCTTAAAAATTTATGAATGGGTATTTCTAAAAAATATGATGTGCATAATGACTGAGTGAACTCAGAGGTCAAGGCATTCTGCCAGCATCCTTATCCTCACCTTGTCTTGTCACCAATACAGTGACAGAATAGGTTGCTGCCCTTCTGATGTTCCCAGAATATCTTGCAGCAACAATGGAGTCCCTGTTTACTTCATATGGAATTCAGCTTAGGACAGCTCTGTGCGTGTGGCTGATGCTCTTTTAAAGTCACCAAGGCGATTTCGCAATACCAAGTGTCTTCCCACCAGGGATCAATCATGTTTTACCCCTGCAATCAGTGCCCTGCAGACCATTAGAGTTAGTCAATGCTGGAGCATCTTCTGTCTAAAAAGATCATTAAGCTCATTTTTTAATATTGACTGCAACTGTTTGCTTTTCACCATGATTTCACTCCAAAATTAAAAAATAATTAGGACCTATATACTGTTTTCTCTGTGCTACAGATTCCCCCTGCCCCTGCTAACTGTGAGGTAGTCTGTCATCATGTAACATGCTTGCCATCAGAGACACACATACAGAGAGGATCCTGTTTTAGAGGTTTGTCAGTGGATTTTTGCAGCTTAAGTACCCAATTGCTCATTTTAGTCAAGTTTGTCTCAGAAAATGTAAAACCAGCATAGCTTTATCTATGAAACCAGGCAGGGGGCCCTGTCTGAGCCCAGCTGTTAATTGACGTGACCTCTGAATAGC